GAAGCTCTTTGCGATTGGATCACCAGCTTTCTTGCAGATCGGGGCATCAAGGTCGTTGTAGATGGTTCAAGCTCCGATTGCAAGCCTATTAATGCTGGTGTTCCACAAGGCTGCGTGCTATCGCCAACGCTGTCTCTTTTGCATATCAATGATATGTTGCAAACCCGTAACATTCATTGCTATGCGGATGACAGCACTGGTGATGCTCTTTACACCGGCCGAGCCAATATTTCTCGGGAAAACGTTCCGAGCGCCAGGACAAACTTGTGTCTGAAGTCGAGTCTTTGCTGAACAAAGTCTCGCATTGAGGGCGACTAATTCTAGTCCAGTTTAACCCCCAGAAGACACAAGTTTGCGCGTTAACCGCTAAAAAGAACCCCTTTGTCGTATCTCCTCAGTTTCAAGGCACTCCCCTTGTTGCCTCAGCCAGTATCGGAATCCTCGGCGTCGACATATCGAGTTACGTGCAGTTTCGTGGTCACTTGGAAGGGAAGGCCAAATTGGCCTCTAAAAAGCTTGGCGTGCTCAGCAGAGCGGGACAGTATTTCATGCCGGCACACCGCCTGCAACTTTACAAGGCGCAGGTTCGGCCGCACATGGAATACTGTTCCCATCTCTGGGCTGGGGCTCCCCAGTACCAGCTCTTTCCACTTGACCGCATCCAGCGCAGAGCGGCTCGAATCGAGTGCTTTCCGATCGGCTCGATTCACTGGCACTGCGAAGAGATGTTGCATCTCTTTGCATTTTCTTTCGTATATACCATGGAGAGTGCTCCGAGGAATTGTTCGGATTAATCCCAGCCGCCAAATTTCGTGAACGCACTAAGAGGCAAACGTCCCGATACCATCTACATCATCCGGATGCTTGGCGGTCCACCACTGTACGTTTCAAGAGGAGTTTTCTTCCGCGTACTACCTCTCTGTGGAATAGTTTACCACCAGTGATTTTTCCGGATCGATACGACCTGGGGACCTTCAAGAAAAGAGCGTACTCCTTTCTAAAGGGCCGGCAACGCACCTGCAATTCCCCTGGTGTTGCGGTTGATCATGGGCGGCGGTAGTCACTTAACATCAGGTGAAGCGCATGCTCGTTTGCCCCCTCTTCTATAAAAAAATGGCTTTTATGGCTCTCTTTTGATTGGACGTAAGATGGCTTCTAGCTTTTTGTGGAAATCAAATAAGAGCAAGTAACGATATTATAAGTTACATATTTTAACTAAATAATTTATTAACAATATCAACACTAGTAATAGAAAGTAATGAAATTAATTATTAAGGAAGAATTTGACTGGATATGAAGTATTTTTCATTATTAGTTTCCTTTTTCTTCTTATTAAAGCCGCCATATTTAAATATGGCGCCTATAAATATAATATAAAATTCATGACTTTCTAAATTATTTACAAAATTTTTAAGTGTCCGATGAACTATAATAATTGATGTGTAAAGCATACAAACAAAAGTGATTAGTACGGGTTTTTGCCGACGACATTTCCATCGTCATACCACAAATATAAAACTAAATAAATATTTTACCGTAAGTTACTTCGAAATAATGTTAAATTCTTCTATAGCATCCAAAATGACCTGGCTAGAAACCAATAATCTGCGGGCAAATGTCTCAAAAATAAAATTCATAATGAATATTTGAAAGAGGTCTCAGAAACAAAATTTTTAGGCCTACATATTGATCGCCACTGTAACTGGAAGTCACATGTGAAATATGTCTACAAGCAATTAAATAAATTTGCAGATGGACTGCGTAGGTTATAGTGCGTCGCTGGTAAAGGCTGGGAAACTGCATATTACGAATACATAGAATCTGTGCTGAGGTATGGTCTGTTGGTATGGGGAAACTCGACTAACATAAACAAAACATTTATCAGTCAAAAGAAATGTGTACGAGCTCTATGTAACGTCAGGTCCCTGGAATCATGTAGACCTTTATTTAAAAATAATAATTTGCTATCACTGAGTGGACTGTATATATTAGAGGTGTGTATATTTGTCAAAAAAAGTCAGTGTTTATTTCATAGCGCTCGCTACAACTCTATTATAGGTAAAAGGGACCCAACTGGATTGTTCATACCTGTCTGGAGGACAGCTTGGTTCCATAAAAATTGTAACATAATGTGTATAAAAGTTTTTAATAAGATACCTAAAAAAATTAGAGAGTTACCAACAATAAGAATGAAAACTCATCTAAAAATGGCTCTTCCAGCACTCTTTTATACAATTAAAGACTTCTTTGCACATAAGTAGGCGATACTTTTAAAATTTTGACACAATTTTTGAAATAATGTTTGAATTATGGTATTTTTGTAAATTAAAAATTTAATTTATTTAATTAATAAATTTGATTAATTATTTATTAATTGAAGTAAATTAATGACAATTAAATGTGTAACATTTATAATTGATATTATATAATTCTTGACATTGAGCTATAGTAATTGTTACTTATAATATATAATATAATTAAATAATTTATGTGTTGTTAAAATTTGATAATTATTGTTGTATAGGTTTCTTGACCATTATTATTTGCACGCCACTAAGAAAGAATATGTAGAATGAATTATACTCAAACACCATTGTACAGCCATATTCTTGAAAATAAAGACTATTAATATTATATTATGATTATTATTAAAAAGGTCAGATTATTATTTATGCATTAAAATAAAAATTAAAGAACAATCTTCTAGTCACTGCTGCATAGGTTAATGCAGCAGGAAAGAGCCTGTCACTCAGCTCCACGGTGAATTGGCGTACTTTACATATTTACGACATTTACCTTTGCGAAGGTGGTAGGCAAGAGTGAATAGGTGCTTACCTTTAGCTTTACCATCAGATAGGACAATAGTCAATACTAGCTTCTAATAGTAAACAAAATATATGTATGTATGTTCATCTGTTCTCTCAGATCTTCTAAACTACTGGCCGTATTTTGATAAATAGTGTATTGTTAGAAGTGTCATGATTTTTGCAGATTATATACACTACATCACGTGAAATCCAACATGGCGACTTATTGCAGACCTTAAGTGCAGCCGAAAAGTTCATTTATGACTAAAATGTCTTAAAGATTACATTTATATAGATATTATAAGTGTATGTACACAAACCGCATTTTTCTAATTTAATGTTGATCAAATACGGTATAACGTTCTTCAAAAAATGATATGCGTGATAGGCTGCGTTCTTTCAAATTTAATTTATTGCATATTTATAAATTAAATAATGAAAAAAAAATCATTCGCCTAAAACGACCTTCTAAAAGTGTTGCGCGAATAAAATAAAAATACAGGGCAAATAATGTTTTATCAAATAAGTCTCGAACATAGAATGCGTTTTATACTAACACTAAGTTGTTCAACGCTACGACGCTACGGGCGTAGCATACTTTTGTCTCTACGAATCTTGGTGTTCTACAACGCTACGAACGTGGAAAAATATGTTTGTACATCTTAAAACATGCAACCATTTTCTACTGTCAAAAATAATTTTGTCTGCGTATCAAACAAGCTTAAAATGTAAATCCAACTGAAATTTATTGTATTTATACTTAAATTTATTGTATTTATAAATTTTTACATATACGTACATAGGTAGGTACCAATCAACTAAGATCCCGCTCTGTTGATGTCAAGCATTAAGTAAAAATAGTTTGGAAAATCTAAAAATGCACGACTCATGAGCGTTTTTTTCCATCAAAATTTCATTTAATTTTGATGAAAAAACTAAATATCTTTTAAACGTCTATGACTCTGATAATAAGCAGCAATAAGGATCATCTTTAGCGATAAATGGCAACTTATTCAGAAAGATTTATTTTATTTCCCTGCGTATATTTTTCTATAACGTAAAGAAAAACAAATGCACAGACTGACAGCAGTACTAATAATTTTTAACAACACTTTTTGTAAATATAACTAAACAAACGATTAAAAAAATACGCTGACCTTGTAATTTAATATCTAGTTTTCAAAACATCCTTTTTTATTGATAAGGTGTCTATTTTGAGACATACTAACAATTTTATATTGCATAAAAATCGTCACATTTGCGAGGCTTAAAGAAATCATATACATTAGAGAGCAAAATAATGACCAAATTACAAAGTAGATATAAATGATTTTATTATTCTATCATTTTCAAAATACTTAATCAAGTTATATCCGTTCGAAATTATAGTTAGGTACTCTTTAAACACACACTGAGACTAAAATAATATTTGTTTCGCCGAAGGGCCATTAGAGCAATCTATAATTTATAAGTCTAAAGAGTCGCTCAGACAAAAATTTTAAGAAATTAATATATTAACTTTGGCCTCTCAATACATTTATGAAAATGTAATGTACGTACACAAAAATAAAAAGTTTTACAAAAATGAGTGATATTCATTCTGTAAATACTAGGAACAGACACAAGCTAGTAGTACCAGTTACTCGACTCCACCGAGTCATTAATTCATTCTTGAGGCGATGTACACGCTTTTACAACAAACTCCCAGAAAATATAAAAAATTTGACCTGCACAAAGTTCAAAAATGTATTAAATTAAATTTGTATAAAAAGGGTTATTGTAATATTAAGGAATTTATGGATGATAATAACCCCTAGGAAGGATAATCGCTACCAAGCTGTTTCTATTTTTTTATTTGTTGTTAATTGTAACGTAGGCACGTGATTGTGAGCTGTTATTTTTTCTAAAAGTCCCACTGGGTTTCTTGTTGGTTCTTCCCAGGACAGAGGTTTTTTTCCGAAACAGTGGTAAATAAAAAAATTACTTTCAATAAGTATTATTTATTGTCTATATTGAGTATCTCTCTATGTTTCTGTTTCTGTTGCAATGCTCTTCCATCCTGTGAAATTTACCTGATGAACACTTTTGTACTCGTAAATTATGATAATATAAGCAATTTAAAGATCTTAAAAGTATGCTGTCGACCTAAACAAGGCTGCAAGTGATTAACATGTGTTGACTTTAGTTGTACGGTTACTCACGTTGTAAGTTCATCGCTGGTGGAAATATGTGATGGTTTCTGATGGCAGCATCCTGCGGGCGCGCACACTGCGGCGGCGGCGGCTGATAGCGCATGCCCTGGTAGCGGTAGGCGGCCTGCGACATCTGACCGCATGAGGCGAGTTCGCCCCACGCCAGCTCACCGCCACCGGAACCCAGGCAGCCGCTCTCGAAGCCGCCGCCGGCGCCGCTCAAGTACCCGTACTCCATGCTCTCGGGCTATCTCACCGATGCACTCCCTGACATGTGCTCACGCGTGACGTCAACCGTCAGCAGTAGGCGCGTTCGCGGGCTACTCCGTAATTCACGGATGCGCAAAGCAGTTCATACAGTCATAATTGGATGAGTGGCTGTTATATCGAATTACGCCGATTAGAGACGGTATTGGAGAGTTTTTTACCGCGGAGAACCGTGCGCTTGCCCCACTCGAAATCGAATGATAAGCCTAATTCAATAAGGGCGAGTCCGGAGGCCGGGGCGGGGCGCGCACCCCCGGGCAGGCCAATGGCCGCGAGCGCACCCCAGCCCGGCCCCGCGATTGGTCGCTTATTCGCTCGCTCGCTCTCTCGGGGTGCAAGTCACGACACTTGTCTACTTTTCTTTTCGTCGACAGTTCCTTTGTCATTGAGGAAAATAAAAAAAATTGTAATTAATCCAGGTACACGCTTAATTAATGAATGTTCTTTTTAACTGTAATCACAATTGCAGTTTACATGCAATTATTGAGATTATATAATATTTTTTCGCCTTCATTTATCAAACAAACTCTCTGTATCATAACTTCACTGCTTTAAATAATAAAATTATATTTAATTTATTGACGAAATGTGTCATTGTTTTCAACTTTTTATTAAGCATAATCTAGGCAGTCTTTAAACATTTAACAGATATTTAATATACAGCTACAGATATTTAATATATGAACAATTTTACTCAAAACAATCCAATTCATTATTTTTTTAAATATTACTGTGTTAATTTATCCATTTTTACATAGGAAAATTGTTGAATACTAAAGAAAGCACGTTTTTCGGATATGTTATAAGTATATTAAAATTTTTACAAAGCAGTTAAAATTTAAGGCAATTGATGCCTTGTTCTTTAATCGTCTTTAAGGAATTTTATTTTAAATTTTAACACGAAGTAAATTATGACAAGAGTCTAAAACCCTTAGTGGTCTGGGAGTGCGATATTGTTCAAAATAAATTGTGTAATATTACCTAATGTGCAATGGATTACGCCTTCTACGACGAGAAATGAAATGTCTTAGTTATCCATATAATTTTTTACATTTTCGAATCCAATTCCCTTAGTTTTAGCTGAAGAAAACGTTAAATATTTCATTCTGAAAAGTCTGAATTTGAATGAAGGCCGAGCACTATGTTTAAAGTTTAATGTTATTCATCTTTGTCACCACCTTTTTCATTTTTTGCTAAAAACTGTAACAAACCAGCCAATAATTTTAAGACATGGAACTCGCCTGTAGGTACACTGGAAGCCACCCTAAACAAGGAGATACAAACTAGCAGTAGAACTTTTATAAATGTTCATTTTCATAAGTTTTAATATGTTATATACTTACAAAAAAATAAAAACATTCTAATTTAAATATTCTTTGCTTTCTTGATTTCATTTTTTTAATTTGTTGTCTTTATACATTATTATTTATATATTGATATATTAAATATTAAACGTAAAGTAAAAATAATTAAATTTGTTAAAGTTTTGGTTGAACAGTATAAAATACTTTAAGTACTCATAGAGAGGTTTTGTAACTCTTATCGTTAAAATAAAAAATAAAACCAATATAATAATAACAGATTAATCGAATCGATAGAAATATTGAATTTTAGTATTCAAGGTCAAAATTTAGTATCCATCTTTATTTGCAATTGGACGTCCACGAGCTGCAGTCGCCAAGCCCAGTCTTAAATAATTGTATTACCTTAATTTAGTTACTGGCTGATATGAACTATAATTGTCAACACTGCAAAGTAACACCTTAACCATTACTATAAAATCGGTAACGATTCGATCGAAAACGTAATAAAAATATATAATATTTATATCAATATTATAGTTAAACACAAACAAGCAAGATAATTTTCATGAATGTGTTGTGCACGCGTCAGCAGCGGGGGAATGCACAAAGGGTACGTGAGAAAGCAGCGAGTATAATATTCACAATATCGGAATTACTGCGGCTGTCCCGCGGGAGCTCCTACGCGACGCTGAACCAGCGCCCGCTTCGCTCCTCGAGATGTCGTATGCCTTATTTATTATTTATATTAATTACACTGCTCCGCTTACTTTTTTATTATTATAATCGCAACACTTACAAACATGAATCTTATTTTAGATAAACAAAATGTATATTATATACTTTTCTTATAAGGTAATTCCGGGAGAGATGTGCCACTTAAAAAAAGTCATAGATGCACTACCTAAAGTGCACTACTTTTTTGTTATGGCTCCATAAAAATTTAATCGAGTTTGATGATAAGCGTTCATTATGTGGACAGAAAAGAAGAATGAGGTAAGACTCAAATACCTAAAGGAAAATAGTGGTTAAAATGCTGACTAATAAACTGGCAATCTTACCCCTGCTACTATAACCATCTCTACCGGGCACTACGGGAGAGATGGCCAATCGTTATTTAGAAAAAAAAGGTAAATCTTGAGGCTGATTATGTCGAATTTGAATAATTTTGTGATATTCTTAGAGTTCAATTTCGAAAGTTTTATTAAAAGTTGATTTTTGTTAATTAATTTTAGTAGTTTTAATTTTGCCGGTTTCTTAAAAAAATATGGCCAACTCCCCGGACTTACCCTACATGTCTACGCTGTGGTCGGTTCCAGAATGTAATATTAAAGGGAAATATACATTTTCAAGTGTAGGATTATAGAAATTATTCGAATTTGGAATATTTTTTATATTAATTTGTAGCCCAGGGGTTAAGCACTCGCTGTGAATTTCACGCGAGCAACTGACGTTCAAACCCCGCCGACACTAATGAAATTGTTAAATACAATTTTTATTCTAATTCACCAGGTGCTCGGTAGTGGAGGAAAACTTGCATGTTCAAATAAAAAAGTAATAGAGTAAAATACTACTCTAGAAATTAGAGTTGACCTGTAACCAACAGTGGGATGTATATAAGCTGTTACTTTATCTTTTACTTTTACACAAATTCAAATTATTTACAAACAGAATCTCGTGTACAAGTTACCTATTGACTACGAAAATTCCATAAAAAATTAAAAGCCAAAATTCTACAAACTATGAATGGAAATCAGCATCGCCAGTCTGATCTACTGTGCGAGAAGCAAGGACAACTCTTTAAAAACTGGCAACTTAAAACATATATATGCCTTATAACATATATAGGTACTTATATATATGACCTTATCTTCGTTATTTCATTTTATATCTTAATATATATAAATTACGTGTCACGTTGTTTGTCCGCGATGGACTCCTAAGCTACTGAAATGATTTCTTTGGAATTTTGCACACAGTGTGCAGTTTGGTTGGTTGAAATGGGATAGTTTTTAGCCCATGAGTGACCCTCATTTTTTTTATGAATTTAAGGATTTTAATAGGTCACAAAAGGTCAATTTTAATAGGACAAAGTATATATATATATATATATATATATATATATATATATATATATATATATAATGGAATAACGAAGATAAGGTCAATACAGTTTTCGACACGGTAGTAATAATCAACACAAATCCAGACCTATAGGTCTTAGCAGTATACTGCTAAAAGTTTACCTATGTTTATGCACAAATTATGGTACGAGATGTGAACTCAAGATTAGCGATGAGCAGATCAGAAGTCTGAGAATGGGTTTGTTATCACCTAATCATCACCATGTTGTCTAGTGAATCAGTGATCTCAGTATTAATATCATACACCTTAGGGTGTTGCTCGATTGATGTTGCTCGATGAATCGATCGATCATCGATCGATGGTGGAATGGATTAGTCGACGTCGATCGATAGTTGCTACCACACCAATCTATCGATGGTAGAATGGATTAGTCGACGTCGATTGAGCTACATAATTATTTGAGAAACCGCCCCGATCCACCGCCCGCAATTTAAAATAAGCTATCTCTGGCCTTAACAACGGTTGCATCCAGAGTCTTTTGCGTTTGTGTTTCTGTAATAATAATACGAGCAAGAGCGTACTGGCCAACAATAACTCGTCCTCTTAATAACTTGTTACCACACCAATCGATCGATCGATTGGTGTGGTAACACCCTTACATACTGTCTTTCAACAATTCTTTGAGATGTTGATAATCATTGTGATAATGTATCTATTTACATTTTACGGATAAAATAAGTGTAAAAAATAAACTTAAGATTATACGGCTAAACCTTAGTGTACTTTTGAGCTAATGTTTTTTTTTTTATTTCATGCAAACTGCAATTTGTCGACATAAATGAAGAAAATTAAAGGCAAGTAAAGGAAGTTACATAATTTTAATTTTTTATTGTATTTAATAAACAATACCTAAAACTGGTGTGTTCGATTTATTCGTCGCTAAAACTAGGAAAAATCGGTTGCCTGTAGGCCAAGTAACAGCTGCATGGCTCTTAGCCCACTCCAAAGTTGCATCGACTAAATCCGCGTAGAATTTAAAAAACTTGCAGATCTGTACTTATAGTAAGTAGACTTTGGGTAAGTAGTTCAAATATCAGAAAACTTATTTTAAACTCAGTTTTTCGCCACTTTCTAGAAAACTATTAGAGATAACGGATTTTTTAAATATAATTTAAAATTAAATAAATAAATAATTAATTTCACGTAATCGTATCACCTTATCCTTCAATACTCATAGTTTTGTTGCAAATCATGTTTTCTACATTATTTACAACAAACACATACAAAACTAAGAGAGAAGATAAAGAGTAAGGACCATTTTTGTGCAAAATTGAAAACCCAAAATATTTTATTCGAAACTATTTTTTATATTTTCTATGGTACAAGAGATAACCGTCAAAAACCATTCATTAAATCACTCCTGGTACTGCTCTCCATCTGTTCGTAAGGCTTCACCTCAATCGGTTCAGGCATTCGAAGATTAGCACGGATAGACAGACACGTTAAAATTTTAAAAATATTTGTCTTAATAGCTTGCAAATACCTCTTGAGTTTAATAAAAGCCAGTTATTTCGAAATTACTAAC